TATCTCCAGATCAACATTCATAGATATGTCACTTTATTTATTTTTGGGTTTTAAGATTGTGTTTCATATACCTCAGGCTGGCCTAGAAACCATATAACTAAGGATGACTTTGAACTTGAAAGCTTCCTGCCTCCTGTTGTGATTACAAGTGTGTGCCATTACATCTGCTTAAATAAAGCTGGAACTAAAATCCATGGCATATTCAAGCAATTCAAGCTAAATTTTATAAGGTGTTTTGACAAAAAAAATTCCTAAAGTAGAATTATTTGACCAGTAGTTATACATAGATAAGAAACTCAATTTTATACAACTATCATATGTCCCTTTTGTCTGTCTAATGATAGCTTTTCTGTTTATAGCCAAATTGCTATCTTCCTTCCTCCCCTTTCTTTGTGTTTCTTTTTTGTTTTTTTATTTTTTAATATTTATTAATTTAGCCTGGTGGTGGTAGCAAATGCCTTTAATCCCAGCACTCATGAGGCAGAGGCAGGGGGAGCTCTGTGAGTTAGAGACTAGCCTGGTCTACAACAGCTAGTTCCAGGACAGCTCCAAAGCCACAGAGAAACCCTGACTCAAAAAACAAAGCAAAATAAAAGATTTATTAATTTTGCCAGGCAGTGGTGGCATACGCCTTTAATCCCAGCGCTTGGGACAGCAGAGGCAGGTGGATCTTTGTGAGTTCAAGGACAAGGCCAGCCTGGTTTACAGAGTGAGTTTCAGGACAGCCAGGTCAACACAGAGAAACTGTGTCTCAAAAAACAACAACAGAAAAATAATTGTACAAAAGAGGTGCTTCGTAGATACAAAGTCAGGCTTTAACTGAGTAAGATTTGTGTTTCTTTAGGGCCCAGTCCCTGATGTTGTGTTTTTGTTTTGTTTTTCTGAGGCAGGGTCAAGGCTAAGGTAGCCTTGAATTCATGACTCTCTTCTTACCAGTTTTTGAGATTACAGGCATGAATCACAACACCCAGCTATTTAACTGCTTCTTGATTAAAATACGTTTTAAAATTGAAATATCTTTGGCATAGTGCCTTTTGATTCACCTAGTTTGTTCATTTGTTGAGTTAGTAAATATTTGCAATGATGTTAACATATCTCCAAAATCAATCTAGAAAAAAAAATTCAT